TTATGCCAGAAAATTTTCTCTCCTGTCCGTCTTGCGGCGTTTTTGTAGCCTCGAAAGGTCACTTGCAGAGGCACCAATCGACCCATGGTGGCAATAAACACTTCAAATGTTCCGTCTGTGACTGTTCCTTTACACGGAGGGAGAAGCTGAGGGAGCATCTTCGATGTGCTCATGCAATAATCCCAAAATCCCAAAAAGTGGATGAAAAATTTATTGATGTTTCATCTCCCAGTGATTTAACTCCGTTAATGTAACCAATTAGTGGCCTATTAGTTCTGATCATGGTACGAACATTACTTCTGTCCATGGTAATATAAGAACATTACTTCTGTCCATGGTAATATAAGAACATTACTTCTGTCCATGGTAATATAAGAACATTACTTCTGACCATGGTAATATAAGAACATTACTTCTGTCCATGTAATATAGAAGTAATATAAGAACATTACTTCTGTCCATGTAATATAGAAGTAATATAAGAACATTACTTCTGACCATGGTAATATAAGAACATTACTTCTGACCATGGTAATGTAAGGTTCTTCTTCACTTTTGTTTTTAATGGTCCATTTCAAGTCCACTTTCTCTAGAATCTTGACCAGACTATCCGTCCATGCATTTGTTCCATATTGAAGGTTTCTATGAAGCTTTCTGTGTATGTTGTCTTTGATTAACAGTCTGGCGGTGGTTCAAACAGATTTTGCTGTTATGTTGACTATTCTTTGATCGATCCTATTTTCTAAGACTGGTAAGTTGGTTTCCATTCTTAGATTCTCTCGACACGTCCATAAAGGTGTTCCCAGCATTGCTCTGTGGACATCATTTTGTGACACCTCCAGTTTCTCCCATTGGTTATCACTGATGGATGTAAGAGCAGGAGCAGCATAGTAAATGGATGACCTAGCTGCTTGAACGTAGTACATTTTAATTACTGGTAGAGATGCACCATCTCTAAGACTTGTCACGGATCGCGAAGCTAAGTGTCTGACTTTGCAACGTTACTGAAGATATTACATTTCTTAAGTGAATTTTAACTGGCTGTCCATTACGACTTCAAGGTATTGAAAAGAGGTAACCCACTCAATTTCTTGTTCTAGTATTGCAGGTCTGTTGTCTTGAGTTCTCATTTTAACGGCCATTGCTTTTGTTTTATTGCTGTTTATTTTCACTTCTATGCGTTCCGCTTCCCTGCTGATGATGTCTAGGCATTTTTGTGCATGGTTCGTAGCGCCTTTGCCATTGATGATGACCATAAAGTCGTCTGCAGAGTTAGGCAGCTTGGCATTTGGTAACTTGAGCTTCATGAATTGTTCCATGAGACAGTTGAAGAGGAAGGTACTTAGCATTCCTCCATGCAGAGTCCCATTTTCCAGTCTCTCCGAGGAGGATGTTTTTCCTTGGAATTTGACTTTAGCTTCTCGGTTAAAGATACATTCTTCGGCAAAGACAAGAGCGTGTCCTTTGATTTCCTTATCCACCAGGCAGCACAGTGCAGCTGGAGCATTGGCTAACTCAAAAGCTTTTTCTAAGTACACAAAAATAAAGATTCCTAGTTTGTCCTTGATTTGATCCAGGAGGGAGGTGAGGCATTCTGGGGTTATCTTGAGGTTATCTTGAGATGATTTCGGGGCTTTAGTGTCCCCGCGGCCCGGTCCTCGACCAGGCCTCCACCCCCAGGAAGCAGCCCGTGACAGCTGACTAACACCCAGGTACCTATTTACTGCTAGGTAACAGGGGCATAGGGTGAAAGAAACTCTGCCCATTGTTTCTCGCCGGCGCCCGGGATCGAACCCGGGACCACAGGATCACAAGTACAGCGTGCTGTCCACTCGGCCGACCGGCTCCCAGGGGAAGCCGTAGGTTTAGGGGCCCCTACACCTTTTATGTAATCAATAATAATTTGGTGCAGTGCATTGGCTTTCCTTTTAATTCGATTAAGACCCATTTTTTCCGAAGTTTTGGCCAGACAGCTTGTTAATGAGATAGATCTTGGATTTGGGTTTTGGAATGGGAACTTTAATTGCACTGTTCCAAGAGAGTGGTCGAGTCCTTGTCACCCATACTCTGTTGATGAGATTCAAGAAGGCTTCTTCGCCATTTTCTTGGCCAGCATGTTGATTTTGTCGTCACCTGGAGCTTGGTTTTTTAATTTTCTTTGTAGCTCTTCTGAGTTCTTTCAGACTGAAAGGTTGGTCTAGTTCGTCGGGTAAGGCTAAGCATCGTCTATTTTTTTTCCATTATGCTGCTTGAAGTCTTTGTTGGTAAGTTGCTTGATGAAGTTGAGTGGAAATGGTTCTTGAAGTAAATAGATTTGCTATGATTTCTGGTTTTTGCTCTGCATGTACATGATGGAGGCGAAGCAGGGGGCGATTTTCCTTTGGCCTTGTTGATCTGCCTCCAGATGTCATCCAAAGACGTATGCTGATTTAGCTTGGCACACCACTCGAGCCATTTTTATTCTTTTATTTTTGCTGTTTCTTCGTGTACATGATCTTGGACAGCTTTAAGAAGTTCTTGATTAGCTTGGGTTCTGTCTCTTCTGAAATTCCTTCGCGCACAATTTAGTCTGTTATGAAGTTCTTTGATCCTATTACAGTAATGCCAATGGTCTTTATGTTGTTGGATAATTGTTTTCTTTTATGGGGATGGAGTGATTTGTTGCTCTATGTATTACATTTACTAAATCTTTTTCCATCTCTTTAGCGTTGTCTGGCGGAGTGTAGTTTTGGTGCCAAATTTCAAGAGATTCCTGAAATTTCGTTCGATCTGCTTTGATAAAATCCCATCAGGGCTCGGGAACTGGAGGTCTGGAGCCAGATTCACGAAAGCACTTACGAACCTGTACATCTTTTCTCAATCTTTGGCGGCTTTGTTTCCAATAATTAAACAGTTAATGAGCTCCGAAGCACAAGGAGGATGTTTATAACAATAACAACAGTTGAATGGGAAGTTTTCATGCTTGTAAACTGTTTAATAAATGTAACAAAGCCGTCAAAGATTGAGGAAAGATTTACACGTTCGCAATTGCTTGCGTAAGTGCTTTCGTGAATCTGGCATCTGGGTGGTAGAGCTATATTAATAACTGTTCTTGTATCAATGTGGTCACTAGTCAGTGCGTAGTAAACTGACCAATAACACAACTCATAAATACTGGTGGAGAAAAACGTGAGATCTAGCTTCCAATATGAGTTGTTCCGTCGAGTTAAGTAGACGGACTTCAGGCACTTCATCTAAAAGGTGTTCGATATGACTTCTATTGGCTTCGGTTCTTGGAGAATCACGCAGCAATTTATTATGTGATAATGCGGAATCTCCTTCTTATATGGCAAACAATGATGCGATATTGAATGTTTACCATAAAATTGTTCGGTTTGGTTTTTATGACGTCACTTGCCCGTGACCAAACCACTCATCAGAAGATGACGATTCGGTCCAGAACGAACCGAAACATCGCCGTTTCGTCATCTTCTTATGTGTGGTTTGATTACCATATCTTCAGCCACGTTATTGTGACTCTTCGTCTGCGTCACTTGTCCATGGCCACCGTTAATGTTATAATATCTGTAATTGGTCACCGTAAAATTATAATATCTGTAATTGGTCACCGTAAAGTTATAATATCTGTAATTGGTCACCGTAAAGTTATAATATCTGTAATTGGCCACCGTAAATGTCATAATATCTGTAATTGGCCATCGTAAATGTTATAATATCTGAAATTAAGTATAATGAAACAAAATAATGGAAGAAACGTTTTTATTACAAATTGTTTGAAATCTTTTTACTGTTTGTGAGTTAAAGGCTATCAAATTTGTCATCCGAAGTTTTTAACACATAACAGGTATTTATTGAATTAAATAAATGACTGAGCCATTGTTCAATTTAATTACAACTAATGCTTATTAAAATAATAATAAATTCAAAGGATGAAATTATTCAAAATTAACCTAATTAAATTAAATCACCATCATCAGAGTTTTCGAATTTTTATATCATGTAAGAAAATTTGATATTATTTGTCTCGCCTTTCTAAACATTGGGTACCATAACCTAGGTAATTCTAGCAAATATGACAAAGCTACGAGCAATTGGTACATTTGTTGATACACGACTGTAATGAGCCTTAACTGATCTACCTGAAATAATTTTTTTTGCTTCAACTGAGCTACCAGAGTAAACCACTGAAGCAAAGAAAATGGTCTGTATGCCAATGTTTGGCATGATTTACCTATGCCTAATTATACATAGATATTTAATACAATAACATTGACTTATATGTGAGAATTTTTTTTAATTCTATGTTAAAATTGATGAATGTGTCTCTAAGGGCAGTCCGTCCTCGCATACAAAGATCCAAGCTCGTTAATCCAGTCACCAAACCCCCTGTTTATGAATGAAAAGCAATTTACACATGACTCACAACTGATGAGGTCCGAACACTTCCGGAACAAGTGCTTCATTCACGTCCTCTGTTCGAATTATAATTCTATAAATGCTTCACCCACGTACTTCAAATACATATAATCGCCAACAAAACTTAAACACTTAACCTAACCTAACCTTCGTCTAACTATATATATAATTGTTATGTATTACTATATATATATATATATATATATATATATATATATATATATATATATATATATATATATATATATATATATATATGAGAACAAACCAATTTTTAATATACAGTATGTTAAAATTGCTGAATACGTCTGGGGAGGACGTCCGCTGCTTTAAACAGTCTAGTGTGTGGACGGATGAGAATGTACTCTAAGGTAGTCTCGTTAACGAGCCTGGCCTGAGTATACAGCTTGAAATACAGATAATTGTAAACGGAATCAAAACAACAAACATAATTTAGGCAAACTAAATACCAAAATATAATCATAACATTATTAATATATACGTAGCAAAAATTACGATTTTGAATACACATTATGGAAACATTGATGAGTCTTTGGAATTGGCGGTTGCCAGACAAACCCAGCCCGAGGACGGGTTGGAAGAATGGTCAGTTAGTTACCGGGTGACAGTGTCGCCACATGGTCGTTCTTGCCCGTGACTTTCGGTACAGCAAGACGACCAAGTGGTAGAACGGGCGATCACAAATACAGAGTCGGGCGAGTTCACGTGATCTCCAAAACACGTGTAAGGAGCCAGTAGTTTCTTCATATAATAGTTGAAATTGTCTGGCCATTCCCAACGCCATAACTCCAGCAGGTAATTAGTTCCTTAATATGTATTTGTTTATTCAGAAGTTACTAGACATTAATTCACCCCTCATTTGATGCATTCCTTCCAACTTTTTCATTCTTCCGAATGGTGAGCCCAAACTGTTACTCGAAGTGCACTAGAGCGTGAGAGTCCCCTGGTGTGTACGTGAGCGCCCTGGTACGTGAGTGAGCGCCCTAGTGCGTGAGTGGCCTAGTGCGTGCGTCAGAGTCCTGATGCGTGAGTGAGTGCCTTAGTGCGTGAGTGCCCTGGTGCGTACGTAAGCGCCCTAGTGCGTGCGTGAGTGCCTTGCTGCCTACGTGAGCGCCCTGGTGCCTACGTAAGCGCCCCGGTGCGTGAGTGCCCAGATATGAGCGACCTAGTCTTGGTGCACGAGAGTATTCTTGTGCGTGAGTGTCCTGTTGAATGAGCCCCTTAGTGCGAGAGTATCCTGTTGAGTGAGCCTTTTAGTGCGTGAGTGTCCCCTGGTGTGTGAATAGCCCTGGTGCGTGAGCGCCCTACTGTGTGAGTTTTCTGGTGCACGAGAGTACCAGTCCGTGAGTGACCTAGTCAGGGTGTCAGGGCACGCGCGCCCGTGTGTGCGTGTGTACTCACCTAATTGTGCTTGTGGGGGTTGAGCTCTGGCTCTTTGGTCCCGTCAATCAACAGGTGTACAGGTTCCTGAGCCTACTGGGCTCTATCATATCTACACTTGAAACTGTGTATGGAGTCAGCCTCCACCACATCCTAATGCATTCCATTTGTCAATCACTGACACTAAAAAAGTTCTTTCTAATATCTCTGTGGCTCATTTGGGCACTCGGTTTCCGCCTGTGTCCTCTAGTGCGTGTGACCCTTGTGTTAAACAGCCTGTCTTTATCTACCCTATCGATTCCTCTGAGAATCTTGAAAGTGGTGATCATGTCCCCCCATAACTCTTCTGTCTTCCATCGAAGTTAGGTTTAATTCCCGTAGTCTCTCCTCGTAGCTCATACCTCTCAGCTCGGGTACTAGTCTGGTGGCAAACCTTTGAACCTTTTCCAGTTTAATCTTATGCTTGACTAGATATGGACTCCATGCTGGAGCCGCATACTCCAGGATTGACCTGACATATGTGGTATATAATGTTCTGAAAGATTCCTTACACAAGTTTTTAAACGCCGTTCTTATCTTAGCCAACCTGGCATATGCCGCTGATGTTATCCTCTTGATATGAGCTAAAGAAAACAGGTCTGGCGTGATATCAACCCCCAGGTCTTTCTCTCTGACTCTTGAAGTATTTCATCTCCCAAATGATACCTTGTATCTGGTCTCTTGCTTCTTACCTCTATCTTCATTACATTACATTTGCTTGGGTTAAACTCTAACAACCATTTGTTCGACCATTCCTGGAGCTTGTCCAGGTCTTTTTGAAGCCTCAAGTTGTCCTCCTCTGTCTTAATCCTTCTCATAATTTTAGCGTCGTCAGCAAACATTGAGAGGAATGAGTCTATACCCTCTGGGAGATCATTTACATATATCAGAAACAGGATAGGTTTGAGTACAGAGCCCTGTGGGACTCCACTGGTGACTTCACGCCAATCTGAGGTCTCACCCCTCACTGTAACTCTCTGCTTCCTATTGCTTAGGTACTCCCTTATCCACTGGAGCGCCCTACCAGTTACTCCTGCCGGTTTCTCCAGCCTATTCATCAGCCTTTTATGGGGTACTGTGTCAAAGGCTTTTCGACAGTCCAAAAAAATGCAGTCCGCCCATCCTTCTCTTTCTTGCTTAATCTTTGTCACCTGATCGTAGAATTCTATTAAGCCTGTAAGGCAAGATTTACTCTCCCCTGAACCTATGTTGATGGGTTGTCACGAAGTCCCTTCTCTTTAGATGTTACTCGTTTTTTTTTCACGATCTTCTCCATCACCTTGCGTGGTATACAAGTTAAGGACACTGGCCTGTAGTTCAGTGCCTTTTGTCTGTCACCCTTTTTGTATATTGGGACTACATTAGCAGTCTTCCATATTTCTGGTAGGTCTCCCGTTTTCAGTGACTACTATACACAATGTAGAGTGGCAAACAAAGTGCTCCTGCACACTTTCAATACCTATGGTGAGATTCCGTCCGGCCCAACAGTTTTTCTCACGTCCAGCTCCAACAGGTGCTTCTTGACCTCATCTCTAGACATTTCGAACGCTTCCTAGGTCACCTGGTTTGCTGCCACCTCTCCTAGCACCGTGACCTCTCCATGGTCTATTGTAAAGACCTCCTAGAACCTTTTGTTGAGTTCTTTACACACCTCTTTGTCATTCTCTATGTACCTGTCCTTACCCGTCCTAAGTTTCATCACCTGTTCCTTCACTGTTGTTTTCCTCCTGATGTGACTGTGTAGTAGCATTGGTTCGGTCTTGTCTTTATTAGCTATGTCATTTTCATACCTTTTCTCGGCTGCTCTTCTCTCACTAACATACTCGTTCCTGGTTCTCTGGTATCTCTCTACTTTCTGGTGTTCTGTTATTACGGAAGTTCCTCCATGCCCTTTTGTTCAGCTCCTTTGCTTTCACACATTCCCTATTGTTATGATCCCAGGCAGCCGAAAAACGAGTCTCCCCTTTGAGAATTATTCTATCAAGCCTGACCTGACTAGAAGGTCTAGGAAATAGAGGTGAAGATACAGATGTAAAATAGTTGGTTGGATATGATGAACAATTTGAGATTATGGGCAGTGAATAAGAAAATAGATGAATGACTGGTTTGGAGATAAGGATAATTTGCTGGAGGCGTGAGGCTTGCTTCTGGAGGGCTTTCATCTCACTTGAATGCCAGACATCGCAAGGGGAAGCCGTGCTCCGTTTGAGCTCCCATCAGAAAGGAACCCGTAGTGATACATCTCCAAGAGAGAAGTGTGCAGACGTTCCAGCTGTGGAATCGAGCTGGGAACGTTGTGGTCTCAAGTCCTGGACGGCGAGGAGTGTTTATTAAACCGCCCAGAGACATTATCGTGGGCCGTGGGAGTGCCCTGACCAGACTCCGTCAGAGGGAGGAGCGCCCTCGACCAGACAATTTGTGGTAAGCACGATTTTGAGCCAGTCTATAGCGATTACTTGTAGTTGGTCGTGTGCCTAGCGACAGTAGCAATGTTTATTGATAAGTTAGACATGTTTTGATAAGGCAGAAGGCATAAAATAAGAGACTGGAGAGGGAGGAACGTCCTGGAGGGCGGAGCGACATCCATCTCCTCTGAGCGCTGGCAAGTGACTGAGGGAGCCCAGCTCATCAGGGTTGCCAGATCCAAATTGCTAAAAGTAGCAAGCTGACAGTCAAAAAGTAGCGAATTTGCAAGTAGAGTAGCCCAATTTTTGTTTAGTCAAATCGAATCAAATCAAATGTTTATTCAGGTAAAAGTACATACAAGATGAGTTACAAACACAATGTTAGATTTCTAGATAGCGACAGTACATACAGACAGATGACATTCAAATTTAGTAAGTTTATCTTCCTCCTTTGATAGAACAGACTTGATGCTCATCTGCTGATGACTTACCTCCGATATATTTTGTCTGTGTTTTAATGTTTCACTGTGTTTCTTTAAACCACTTCTATGAGCTCTTATCTCAGTTCTACAAACTTTACAATATGCCTTATTTCCATGTTCTTTCACTTCAGCCAACCACTTTCCAAACACGGGATCATTCAGCCAGGACATCTGAAACGCTTTCTGGTATTTAGACCACTTCCCCATTTTACACTTCTTTATCTTAACACTTAAGCAAATTCTAAAAGTAACAGCAGTAACTTCTTTTCTATATGCGGTAACTTGTGTCGAACTATCCTTCTGGAGGTCAGAGCCACACTAACAATGAAAGCACAGATGAAGCTGCCAAGTTCACTGTATGCTAATCCGCTCTAACGACAGTCATTTGATTCTTGGAAACACCTAAAGAGAAACCTAATATTTATAGTAGGCAACAGTGGGAGGTCACTTAACATAGACAGTACCCGGGATGAAGTATTAATGGCAATTAAGGTTGGGAAATATATAGCCCCTGGGGAGGATTATCTTGCCTTGCGGTTACTTTTTCTTTGGGAAGTTCCTAGGATCAACGTTCCCAGGGGGTCGGTCTCTGACCTGGCCTCCTGCGGTAAGTGGTCTATTCAATCAAGCTGTTGGACGCGGCTGTGATTTGTACACATGACATTATAAAAAGCATAAAAATCAGCATTGAGTTTCTTAACATTAATAGTCCAAAATAGACCAACTTGTTTTTAAAGTAGCCCAAAAAGTAGCAAGTAGCGAAATAAAAAATTTGGGAGCGCAGGGCTCTGAAAAGTAGCCCAATTCGCTACTTGTAGCCCAATCTGGCATCCCTGCCCAAAATGGGGAAGTCCACTCTCACAGTATGTAGAGAGCAGATAGATGTTGGAGGCAAACATAGTGTGTGGTCATTTTTCTTTGTGTTTAAGGGGAAACATTTTTATTGGAGTGTCAATGGGTTGAAGGTTTGTCTTTGGGGAAGAAGTTGCCGAGAACTTTGAAGCCAGCACAGAGGGAGTAGTTGATGAGACTCCAAGGTAGTGGAGCAGAGGACCTCGAGCTGTGAGGAGAAGCAGTGAAGAGGAGTGTCACATGCTTCTGTAGAGGTGGTGAAGCACCATAGTTGTTCGAAGAAACTTCATGGTGTAGCAGCCAGGAGAGCTGTGGAGGACCCTAGTAGAAGTGGCGGAGCACCGTAGTTGCTCAAGGAAAACTTCATGGTGTATCAGCCTGGAGGAACTGCAGAGGATCCTGATAGTTAAGCCCAGAAGAACCTGAAGATATCAGGGTAGTGAACTTCCAGATGTGGAAGGGAAGTTCTAAATGATTACTTGTAAGGAGGTGATAGAGCGTTTGGTTGTCATTAGCATGCAAGATGCAGTGAAAGGCGAGTGGTAGTTTGCCATTTTTGTACCAAGGAGTTTACACTGAAGTATAGAGTTACAGTCGTAGGCTGGATTACCTAGAAATGTATGTGTTCTAGGACTGA